TTGATTGCATAGACCGCATAATTGTTCAAAATACCTGCGTAGACCGCATGTCTTGATTGCGTAGACCGCATGTTCAATTTCATTACCTGCGTAGACCGCATGTTTTGCTTCCGTAGACCGCATGTTTAATTTCAATACTTGCGTAGACCGCATGTTTTGATTGCGTAGACCGCATGTTTAGATTGCGTAGACCGCATTGTTAATCTCTTTACTTGCGTAGACCGCATGTTTAGACTGCGTAGACCGCATGCTTAATTCCATTACCTGCGTAGACCGCATGTTTTGATTGCGTAGACCGCATCTTAATTTCATTACCTGCGTAGACCGCATGTTTTGCTTCCGTAGACCGCATGTTTAATTTCAATACTTGCGTAGACCGCATGTTTTGATTGCGTAGACCGCATGTTTAGATTGCGTAGACCGCATTGTTAATCTCTAAATATTAAATTAGGACTAAACCCCAATCAATATTCTATCATCCAAATCCTAGGGGTGAAACAAAAAAAACTAAACGTAAACCAAACCATCCACCATAATCTCATAACTAACCAATACCTTAACATTAAGGTAGCAACAACTAGTCAAAACAACTTAAACAAAGTACAGTTACAAACCATGCCAAATGATTCAAATACTAAAGTCATAAAAAAAATAATAATAATAAATACATAAACTAATATCAATCCTAAGCTCAAGAAAACAAAAAAAAAATCCAAGAGACATGTCCAACAACTATAGTTATTCCACGTCACCACCGTAGTCCCAACTAATCCTGCAAAGTCAATCTCAAAATCTTTACACATCTCATAAAGAGTAACTGCCCCTCCTAAAAGGGTCTCAACACGAATAGGTCTAGACAAGGAGGTAGTTACAATATGTTCTCTTTCTAAAAACTGTCTAGATATAATAGAATAAGAGGCACCAGTATCAAAAAGTACTCTAATGGGTTCTTGATAAAGATTAAAAGTACCTTGCACTTTGTTAGTTCTTGGCATCACTGCAAATGCCTTGGCTGGAGCTACCTGACCCTGTCGTGCCTGCTGTCTTTGAGGGAAATCCTTGATTACATGCCCCAACTGCTGACACCCAAAACAATTCCTACTGATTGGTTGAGGTGCTACTGGTCTAATAGGTGGGGGGCCCTCTAACTGAGGTACGGGAGAACGATAACCTAATTGTGGCACTTGCTGCTGTAGACACCCCATTTTTGACCGTCCTCAAGACTTGGATGTCACTGTTTGAACACACGGTGATCTTCCATGATTGTGTTCGTTTGGAGTTCCCGGAGGTCTCGGCTCGCGCGCCTTGCCTCAGGATCCCCGAACTCGACTATTTAGTGTCTGGTTTTGCACCAAACACTTGTGTTTTGCCTTTAAAGGGCAGGGAATGCCTTATGAGGCATCCCCACACACCACCGGCAGTGGCTGGAGGCCACCGGCCGGGCTTTTTCTTCCATCGGCACTTTTGTTTGCCGGTCGGCACACTTTATTTCCGGTCGGCATAATATGTTGCCGGTCGGCACTTTTTTTGCCGGAATAGCTTTTTTGGGCAGCCGACCACTGTTCCTCCACTTTATGGAGATATTTTGTGCCAGCTGTGATAGCTGGCACCAACTCCTTTCCCCTCCATACACGTGTATGGAGGGATTTCCCTCTAGCCAAGCTTGTTGAATAAGCTTTGCAAGAGGGATCCTTATAAGAGGGAGGCTTTCCTCTTGGTTCTAGGTTAGAAAAAACAGAAGCAAAAACCAGCCTTTAGAGATATAGATACGTATTATCTCTATACCTCTCTCCCTCTCCCTTCTTGTGTGTGTTTCTTGACCCAAAAGGTGTGTTTTACCTTACTTTTGCACCATTACACCTTACTCCGAGATTGGGGGACTTGGAGGAGTTGTTTCTTGAGTTTTGGACTGGTTTTGATCAAAAGAAGGAGGCTAGACCATTTGTTCTTCAAGGGTTCTTCAAGGGTGAGCATCTTCCCTTTTATTCCCCAAACTTGCATTGGTTCTCTACCTATTTTGTTTACTGTTTTAGCTCTTGAGCATAACATAAAAAAGGCTCAAATTTTCCTGCTCTAGCACTTTCATTAAGATCATTTTGTGGTTTGAGTGCAAACTCACTCTCATAGGCCTTGTTTGGTCCTTTTTGGTGCCTTTTTGATAAGGTTTTGTTCACTTCAGCATTTTGGTCTCTTGACCACTGAAAATCAATGTATTCTAGTGTTAAAAAGGATGGTTTGAAGTCTTGCACAGGGGAGGGACACCCCTCTCCCTTCATGGTTTGTTTCCTTGTTTTTTTGGGCTCAAAAGGGTAGCATGTGTGCTTGATGTCTCTTGGCTTCATTTCAGCATTTTTTTAGGCATCTCAGGTCATATATAACCTCTGTTTTTGGTTAGATTTGGGCCTCTTTATATGCTTGTAATACTTGCTTTGTATCACTCCATCTTGCTTAGAAATACATCTCATGGTTAGGCCATGATCCTTGTGTAAGTTGGCTTAGTTCCATGAAGTTTCTAGTGTTGTTTTTCCATGCTTAAGGTTTGTTGGTTATCCATTTAGTTATGCTTGACATGTGTGTTAAGGTTGCTTTGTATTTTGGCTTAAAAGTTTTGAGCTTGATGGCCTTTAGCATGTATATTTGTGATCACCCTCATGATTTAATATCATCTAAGGACCTTTTTTTTGTCCAAGAATCATACTTGTATGTGTGCATGCATAGCCTCTTTCATGCCTTTAGGATGTGTCCTCTTATGCCTAAGAATGAGCCTTTAGTGCCTATGCTCCATGGGAGATATTTTAGCTGCCATATTAGGAGTTTTGGGGTCCTATTTTGCATGCTTTTTTTTTTTTTTTTTTTTTTTTTTTTTTTTGAGAACATACTATTTTGGTTTGTTGTTTGTCTTTTTATCTAAATATTTCTAAGACCAATCAGACCATAGTTCACTTTGGAAATTGAAACATGAACCAGTCTAAGAAAAAGAGAATATGATATGGTATTAAAAACTGCATAGTGATTATAAATAAAAGTTCTATAGAATTAGGTAGAGTTGTGGTCCATGGAATAATGTTTATAAGAGGTTTTTCTGATTGGGTGCTGGGATTTATAAGACTGTTGAGGGATTGGGAAAGGGAGGATGTGGCTAGAGTCAACATGTTAGCTTCATCTAATGCTTTGAGGAAAGATAAGGATGGCAGTTTGTTATGGAAAGCCGAGAGCTTTGGTCAGTTTATACTTCAGTCCAAATTCCAATGATATAAGAGGAGTTGATAAGATGATTTGGCAGAATGTAACCCCACCCAAAGTCATATGTTTTGCTTGGTTAGCTTGGAGACAAAGATTAAAGACTGTTACATACTTGCAAAAAGTTTGTGTTATCAATGGCAATGCCAATATGGATTGTGTGTTCTGTAATGCTGAACCAGAGACTGTGAACCATTTGCTACTATGGTGCCCACATTCTCTGAGTTTGGCTACTTTTTGTCGACAAAGCCATTACTTTATTACTTTGTTTTACTTTGGCTATTTTATATGTTCTCTCTTTCAACCACCCTCATCCAACATAGTGGGGTTCCTGAATTGCAGTGTGTTTTACCAGCTGGTGTGGAGTTCTACCCATCAAGCTTCAATTCTAATGATGTCTCAACCTTTCCATTGAGTTATCCTATTGTTTTAACTGGTATGCAACTCTTGTATATATTTCTAGCAATGTTTACTTGTAATTATTCAAGTTTTTGCTCCTAGCATTAAGAGTATGCAATTTGTTTTTTTCCTTGTCAAGTTGGCTGACTAGATGTAGTAGAATTTGGGTTTTTACTATTAAAGAAGTTAAAATCCAATAGATAATTGTGTTAGAAAATTTGAATTTAAATTTACTCCATTGGTTGTGTCTCTTGAGATGGAAGGATGTGTCATTTTGAAGGGTCACAACCTTTCTAAAGCGTCACATATAAATTCCATCCCCCTCACTTCATTTAAAATATAGAACTGCAATTTTCTTCTTCACTTTGCATTTATTCTTCATATTTTCTGAGTCTATTTTTCCTATAAAGAGAGTACATGCACAGGAAAGTTCGCTAGGCTTGCAATTGTAGTGCTTCTAGTGCAAGACATTGATCGTTGTATCCTGGGAGATAGACGTCCATTGAATCCTAAGCACCGGTGGGAGGACGAATCTGTCTTAAGAAAAGAGTGTCACACACTCGACTCGATCAGGTTTTATTTATTTATGTACTGTAAGTTTTGTTCCGTTGTTTTGTCAATTTATTTCAGTTTTGGTTTTGCCCAAAAACCATTTACATATTTTTAAATTATATTTTCCTTATAGTTTGGTACTATTTTTTCAAACAATCTTAAGATAGATTCTGTGCATGTTTATGGTTTTTTGTACAATATAACTGATATGCCTGATCTTTTCATAACTGGAATTTGAAAAGAAAAAACCTAAGAAATGTTTCTTATTATTTGAAAAATCTGAATCTTTTTTATGGTCTTGATTGTTGCTTATGATCGAGAATTTATTACATACATATGTGTGTGTGTTTAGGACATTGAAGGTTTCCAATATCTTGGGATGATGGCTTTTTAGCCAAAATCTGTAGTGTGGGTGGTCAAAAAAAATGATATAACCCACAATGAAGTAAATTGAATAATAAGAAGGGTGAAGTTCTTCCTCGATTAATTTTAATTGGCTACACATACCTCTCTTCTCTCTATTTATTTCTCCACTGAAACACCACACCACACCACATAACACAAAACAAAACCGAAATCAAATAATTCAAAAGTTGCAGAGCCACCACAGAGAGAGAAAAGTCTTCTACCGATGCAATCTCGAACTCACCCATGTTCTCTCCATCTAGGGCTTCGGCTACAGAAGCCTCCGAGTGGGCTTAATAGGGCTTCTAATGATTGTGCGATTTCAACTTCATCTTTGTCTTCTTCTCCCCTGGCGCTGTTAAAGAGGAAGAGGCCGGCGAGGTTGGTTAATTTCGAATTTGAGAATGGGTTTTGGTGGTGGTTGTGTGGCGACGCCGGTGATGGGAGTGGAGAGGAGGGAGGTTGTGGAGGCTGAGAGTGATGGATATTTGGTGTTTTGTAAGAGGGGAAGAATGGAAGCCATGGAAGATAGGTTCTCGGCCCTCCTCAATCTTTAAGGAGATCCCAAACAGTGATGTGTTAATGCTTTTGAATCCATCGTTGGAAACAGAGAAACCAATCGGCATGTTGGTGCTTCGTTCAAAGGTGTCGTTTCATTATTATCCCAAACTGTTTGAAACTTTTAGTTGGGTCTTTAATCATTGAATTGAGTTTGGGTATTCCTTTCATCCAAATATCAAATCTAATGGTTTATTTATCTATAAGGAAATTCTTTTGTCGTTTATTAGTTGAACATAATGATCAACTTTTTGGAAAGACAATTGGAAATGTTTTAAATTAAATTTTCTAATTTAAATTTTTTAACAAACTCATAACATAATTTGGTGAGATGTTATATTGTGGTCCCAGTCCCAACTGTGCTACCTATAACACTTTAATGAAGGGTTATTGCCTAAATAATAATGTGGACAGAGCTCTCGATGTTTTTTCTACAATGGCGAATTCTGGTGTTATGCCAAATAGAGTTTCCTGTAACATTTTAGTACATGCACTTTGCAAGAAAGGACTATCGGAGGATGCTAGGAAGCTTCTTCAAGAAAAATTAGATAAAAATTGTGACAAGGAAAGATCAATTTTAATCACTTCTACAATACTCATGGATGGTCACTTCAAGAACGGAGATACGCTGCAGGCTCTCATTTTTTGGGATGAGATGCTCCGAAGGGGTACCCAAATGGATGTTATTTCCTATAATGTTATAATTTATGGATTTTGTTCGAGCCAAAACGTGACAGTTTCATATAGATACTTATCTAAAATGTTTAAGAGTGGCCTTATTCACGATGTTTTCACTTACAATACACTTATAAGTGCGCTTTGTAAGGAAGGAAAGATTGATGAGGCTTGTTATATCTATAGTGTTATGTCAAGAATAAGGGCGGCTCCTAATCATATCTCATACAAAATGCTCATTCAAGGCCTCTATATTCAGGGGCATGTAATCGAGGCTAATGAGTTTCTTGTTTCTATGTTAGAGAATTCGATTGTACCTGAGCCTTTCATTGGAGTGCTATAATTGATGGCTATGGTAGAAGTGGAGATATTCAAAATGCTAAAAATTATGATTATGTTTGACTTGTTAATCTTGTCCATGTCTAGATATGTTGTAGAGTTGACAATTAATAGTATCATTTTTTTATGATGTCATTAATATCAATTTGGTATGTGGTGTATTATAAATGGATGTCAATTATTTATCAAAGTGTTGATAAAAATGTGAACTTATGTGTTTTCACATAAGAGGAATTCTAACTATTGTTTGGAATAATGAATAAATTGGTGTGGTGATGTAGACACCCCATTTTTGACCGACCTTAAGACTCAGACGTCACCGATTGAGCGCTTGGTGATGTTGCATAATGTGCTCGTTCAGAAGTTTCAGAGTCGCGGCCGTGAGCCCTGCCTCCGGACTTCCGAACCCTCTTTTGTACCTTGCCTCGGTTTGCGAACCAGGCTCGGTTTCTCGGTTTCTTTTCCTGAGGGAAGGGAGAGGTCCCGTAGACCATCTCTCAATGTCCGTAGGCTACATTTCACAATGTACAATAATGTTAATTTGATGTTGACAAAATACATAAACATTTCATAAAAATTAAAATGTGAATTAATTTCATTCCATTTATTGTGGAGATTACAATTTGAATACATTTTGGTAACACCTCTTGTTTTTACGCCTATTTACGTGTTTTTTAATTTTATTTTGAGATATTTACCAATAAATCTTATCTCACAAACAAGTACTTCAATGAGTCCCAAATTTTTTCTATTGATCTGTTAAGTCCTATTAGTGGAGACTTTGTTTTCGTGTGGTCCTATTTTTTATTTTGATAGTGTTTTTGGTAGACAGTTATACCTTTTTATTAATGTGACAGGTATGATGTGATACTCTAATATGACATGTATTAATATCACACTCCAAAAAAATTAAAAAATTCTTTAGTGTATTTTTTTCTAAATGTGACAACGTGATGAGTATGATGTGACAGCACGCATTTCAAGGCGTCTCATTTGCAGTGCAGAACTTTGAACCACATATTTGTGATGTACACACATGAGAGGACCCTAAAAGTTCATGGCCGGCCATTAATTCAACTTGACCCTTTTGACCCCCTCCTTCCGGGCTAATGTTGAACCCCTTGGACCCTTTTTCTCGAACTTTGAAGCACATATTTGTGATGTACACACATGAGAGGACCCTAAAAGTTCATGGCCGGCCATTAATTCAACTTGACCCTTTTGACCCCCTCCTTCCGGGCTAATGTTGAACCCCTTGGACCCACTTTCTTGGAATTTTAACCACATGGTTGTGTTGTACACATAGGAGAACACCACCAGTTGGTGGCCAGCCAGAAAATCTCATTGAACCTTTTGACCCCTAGCCGGCCGGCTAGGGGGTATGGCCGGCCGGCCACCTGCAACAAAAGTACCAGGCCGGCCGTATTCCTTGCACTGTTCCCTTTACAGCTGTGAGGCTTTATCCCCCAGAAAAGATCTTTATCTGGGGGATATTTCGTGGGGGAATATTACTCTCCTTTTCCCCCACCTTTACACCCCCTTGTTGGCCTATATAGCAAGCAAGCCTTGTAGTATTTTGGGGTTAGAAAAATTCTCCTTCAAGCCTCCATACACAACTCCATCTTCATCCTTCTCATTTCTTGAAAAATCTCTAAGTCCCTAACCATCATTCCTTCTACACCACCAAGCTCTACAACCACCACCTCATTTCCAGCAACAAGGAAGGTTTCTCAAAGCTGCAAATTCATCCAAGAAGCAACAAAAGTTTGAGTCTTCAAGGGTGAGTAACCTTTTCTTCACTTTGACCTTTTTCTTGATTCATTTGTAAGCCTCACTTGCTTTTTGTTTAAAGCTCCGGCCCTAACTGAAAAGGACCCTCTTTTGAGCTCATTTTCACTTTTCATTAAGGGCTCAACCCTGTTTGAGCCCCCCATATTGCACTTGCTTCAATATCCTCCTTGAATGCTATTTTTTTGCATGCTTTGGCAGCCCCCATGAGTAATCTGTTTTTGAGCATGTTGTAAACTGATATTAGGCTTATTTTGAGCCCCTCTTCAACATTGAAGAAGGGCTCAACACCATTTGGGACTTCCATGTTATACCTACCTTTATACTCCTCTTTTCTTCCCCATTCTTGCATGCAATGGAAGCCTACGATGCTTTTGTTTTTGGCCATTTTACAGTTCTGAAAAAGTGATTATTTTGGTCCATTCTTCATATTTCGTTTAGGTCCTTTCATGGTTTGGGACCTCCATAGGTCACTTCATGTTATACCCTTCTTTTATTCCCCATTCTCGCATGTTTAGTTAGCCTATCATGCTTTTGTTTTTGGCCATTTTACAGTTCTGAAAAAGTGCTTATTTTGGTCCATTCTACATGTTTTATTAAGGGTCTTTGGCTGTTTGGTGATTATTTTGTATACAGCCCCAATCTTGTGCTCATTTTTTAGCATGTTTGTATACTGATTTTGAGGCTTCCATATACTGTAAATGTTCATATTTTTGGTCCCTCTTCAGTGTTTTAGAAGGAAAATTTTCAGTTTGGGTTTTGCTTATATCACTTGCTTCATTACCCCTCTCTTGGCCTCTTTTCTTGCATGCCATTTTTGCCATACCTATGCTTGCTGTTTGGCCATGTTTATAACTGTGAAAGTGCCTTTTTCGGGACTGTCTAGCTTCTGTATTTGCATTGCATGTCCATATTGTGCATGTTTGGCATAGCTATAAGCCATTTAGCGTGCCTAAATTTGCATTTCGGGACAATTCCATGCATTTCATGTCATTTCGCCTCATTTCGGGACTGTTTTCCCACATATTTTAGTGCTGAAATTCCATTAGAATGATTGCTATCCATTTCTTGCCATTTTCATCACATTCTATCATCGCCTCGGTTTGCGTGCCCGTGTGCACGCATTTCGAGGCACTTCATTTTTATCCGCCGGCATCCTATGTGAGTGTGGCTGAGGCTCACTCATGTTGGTATAAGCCCTTGTTGCATGTTTCCATGTCATTTGCATTGCATTTGTCATCGCCTCAGTTTGCGTGCCCGTGTGCACGCATTTCGAGGCACTTCATTTTTATCCGCCGACATCCTATGTGAGTGTGGCTGAGAATCACTCATGTTGGTATAAGCCCATTTGTCATTTCCATATCATTTCACCATATTTTGTCATTGCCTCGGTTTGCGTGCCCGTGTGCACGCATTTCGAGGCACTCCTTTTTTATCCGCTGGCATCCTATGTGAGTGTGGCTGAGGCTCACTCATGTTGGTATAAGCCCATTTGTCATTTCCTTATCATTTCACCATATTTTGTCATTGCCTCGGTTTGCGTGCCCGTGTGCACGCATTTCGAGACACATATCATTGCCTCGATTTGCGTGCCCGTGTGCACGTATTTCAAGACACATATCATCACCTCGGTTTGCGTGCCCGTGTGCACGTATTTTGAGACACTTATCATCACCTCGGTTTGCGTGCCCGCGTGCACGCATTTTGAGACATGTCATTTTCTCGATTTGTGTACCCGCGTGCACGCATTTCGAGGCATCTCATTTTCATGTCTTTCGTATTGTTTCTGCCATTACCTCGGTTTGCGTGCCCGTGTGCACGCATTTCGAGACATCTCATTTTCATAGCATTGTGTATGTTAGGATTGCACCTTAGTCGCATTTCATGCATATCATGCATATTGCATCGTGTCCGGAATAGGAGTTAGCCCGGGCACGGGAAACGAGGTACATTACGTACTCCGAGTGACGGAATGTGTCTCAATTCCCCAGTCACCGACACTCCGGATTATCCATGATGGAGTTAGGTTTTAGCTGTAGTTTCATGTGCATTCATCCTATATTGAGTTGTGCATTTCGACTCCTCGGCCATCATGCCTCGGTATGCGTGATTGGTGGCACGAGGATCGAGACATGCATATATCTATGCAAATACATTGCTATGCCCCTTTCCTGCTCTCTGTTGCAGCAAAACATTGAATCAGCAAACTTTTGGGGCTTGGCACGCATTTCAAGAACAAGTATAAACAGAGGCTAATTGGGGCATTAC